CTTTACTGTAAGCAAATTCATTTTATTGTAATAATGTTTCTACATCACAATTATTGACACTGCGTCCAAGGAGTGTCAATTTACAAAAGAGCAAGTTTGGGCTGTCAAAATGACAGTCAGGATTTGTCACTTAAATGTGACCAGAGAGCTGCTGTGGAGGCAGAATTTTCTACTTGAATGTTTTCAACATGTATGCAGAGTATGGGATAGGTATGGTTTGTGTTGGGGTGCCCATTCCAGATGGTGATCAGGGGTTAAAAATTATTTTACCGCTATTCTCATTTTCAGGCTCAGTCAAGATTTAATGAGTCTAGTCAGAAGCTGGACCTCTTGAAGTATTCTTTAGAGCAAAGACTTAATGAACTCCCGAAAAACCATCCGAAAAGCAGTATTATCATTGAAGAGCTGTCACTGGTGTCATCTCCAACACTAAGCCCAAGGCAAAGCATGATCTCTACACAAAACCAGTACAGCACACTTTCCAAGCCAGCTGCTTTAACAGGTATGTTCTAAAAGAAAAAAGGTTTGAAATGCACAAAGCTTAATAGTCCTTATTTATGTGCAACTCTTCCGTAATAACTGTATTCAGTACCATCAATGGCCGTATTCAGTACCACCAGTGGTAATATTTTTGTTATTTAGGATGTTGTGCCTATGAAGTCCTACAGTTCACAATATCCCATTGTAAAGGTTCTCCTGCTGCACATTGACGTCAATATTTGAATTTTAAACTGTCTAAACTATGTAGATTTCACCTCAATACAAATGTTTTGTAGTTGTAAAAAAATGTTCGTACTTGAATGGTTAGTGCTTTGGATTCTGCAAGAGGTGCCTGCTAAATTGCCCCTTCACCATCTATGCAGTCACTTGTATCTCCTTGTCTACAAATTCCCTGCACATTGTTTATGTATGACTGTTGCTGCTATAACAAATTGTGAATGAACAGAGAATTTATTCCACTGCAGCATATATTCCAAGCACTGTATCCCACTGTTTGACATTACCTATGCAGTGAATTTACTTAAGCGTTGGAAGTTTTTCTTTTTTCCTGTTTAATGTAGACCAACCATTAGATCATAATTGGCTTCCTGGACAATGGTCGTTTGTCATTTGTGGCTCAGAAGTGGAAGTTTGTCTGCTGCCTTTACTCATTGACTGCATTCCACAGGTACCCTAGAAGTCCGACTAATGGGATGCCAGGATATTCTGGACAATGTTCCCGGCAGGTCCAAAGCCACTACCGCCACCCTCCCAGGCTGGAGTCCAAGTGAAACCAGATCATCTTTCATGAGCAGGACAAGTAAAAATAAAAGTGTCAGCAGTCGGAATCTCCTGAAGACAGATGACTTTTCCAGTTCAGTAACTTTCTGCTTGTTATTGTCTGCTTCCATTTGCTCTAGCTTGGCACCTAGTGAACATTAACATGTTTATGGAAAAAGGTTTTTTTGTATATATTTTTTTTGACACTTGGACTTTTAACATACCTTGTTCTTTAATGAGGGATGTGTTATTTAGTTATTTATATAGTTTTAAGGCTATAATGTAGGATTTTGGTGTAATAGGTCTGTCTCTAATACAGCTCTGTGTAGGTAGGTTTATGGAATTGTACCAGTAAGGTTTCTATGGAATTTATTTTCCATAGTGTATACTGTTGAAGGGGCAGAAACCTAGACTACCATTGGGGGAATTCTGTATAAAAATGAATCCGCTCTCTGCAGTTTCTGCAAGACTGTTTGTTTGGGGGGGTTTTTTCTGAAGAGCTGAAACCTGATTTTGCAGCCTCAACATTCAGCTATTATGGTGCCTTCTTAAAGTAAAATCTCAGTAGGGTAGGCTTAGTTAGCTAATGCACAGCAAAGATCAAGACAACCATGTCTCTCCTGCTTACAACACAATCAAGTGGTTGTTGCAGTTTGAAACTAACATTTTAAGATTGTGTCATAACTGTTCAATAATCAGAACTTCTATTTGGTTTCTTATTTTACATTTAAGAGAGGTTCAGACATTTTGAAGTTTAATTCATTTGCTTACGCAGACTAGGGCTTTTAACAACCAGCCCTGGTAAATTCTGTGTGAAATCCCATATAATTAGCAAGGAAACTAAGACTATTTCATCTGTTCATGCACCAAAAAAATGTCTCTAATCTTTCCTTAAGCAGATATTTTGTTGTTGTGGGTTTAACAGTGGAGCTTTTGTTTCCTGCAATCCTCTTAGCCTTTTAAGCTCAGTTGCAGTAATTTCTTTACAGATGAGGTCTGTGCTGTTCTGAAGCTGGACAATACCGTAGTTGGGCAGACCAACTGGAAACCTATTTCAAACCAGTCATGGGACCAGAAGTTTACGTTGGAGCTAGACAGAGTGCGTATAGCATTGACAAATCCCATACTCCTTTGAATTAAATTTAATCCAATTTTATTTGTTTTGTTTTCACTTCGTTGTTTAAATTGAAACATATTGCACTTTTCATAAACTGTATAAGATTACAGAGCATGTTTCAAATGATGTGAAGGTTGGTATGACAATTATAAGCAGCAAGTGCCGTTGTTTAAAATGCGGTGCAGTGCCATTGATTGTGAGCTGCGCCCTAATGCACATTACAGTAGAAGGTGATGCACTGCAGTGCTTTTCAACATACGTGATGTGTTGAAAAGCATGTCCAAGGTATGTCCCACCGCACTACCTAAAGGAAACCCCTAAAGTGAGTGCTGAAGTGACTGTGGGTGGCTCCGCTGTTATCGAGGAAGCAGAATGTCACCAGCACACCAGCCGAAATGTGATAGTTTAAATCTTTTTTTTTTTTATTGATGCATGTTGTCAGATAGAAGCAACGTTTCAGGGCAGCGCATGGTCCCCTTCATCAGGCTCAGTAGAACAGAAAACGATCACTTGACCATTTTGTCTGGTTTGCTAATGACATTCTGCTTCCTCATCGTGCTATGCAGTGTTGCAAAAAATGTCAGAGTTGTAAATGCATGTGCACACATTGACAATGACTTAACACAGCAACCGATTCCTAACTTGTCAATCCAGCGAATAAGTTAAGCCTACAGCACCTCCACTTACCCTTTTTATGCAGATTGCAGCCATAGCTGCATTTTACCAGTACCACTGCTTTAAATACTGAAGCAACAGCAGAAGCTATTGACATCTCTATTCCTGCATTTTAGATAACTTGCACTGGTATAGAAAACACAATCTCTGGAATTCATAGCATCACAGGCAGTCTTCAAAATTCTGTGATGCTTTCTTCCTAGCGACCAGGGACACTGTCCTGACAGCGACCTAGCAACCAAGGATGCTGTCTTGTCAGCATCCTAGCAACAAAGGACGGCATCTTTGGCTGATAGGATGCCGACGGACCCAAAATTCTAGCAACCAGTGTTGTGTGTGGGCATACTACAGTAAATAAGAGGATTTATTTCAGCTTTGAGAAATTTGTGTTGGGTGTGAAGAAAACTTCTCTCCGGACACAAATTACTCCTAGATGAAATAGAACACTGGTGGTAACTAAGACCGATCTCCAAAACGGCAGTATTTCCTCATGAATTTGTCCATCATTGTGATATAATGTGTGACTAATAAGAGCTACCTGAATTTGCCGCAAGTGTGAGTAATATCTCTAGAACTGTTGTACTGAATCTGGTGTAGGACTTCCCAAGGCATCATTAACACCACAGAAGTTTTGCTATTCTATATTGTATCCCCCTCAATATTCTGTGGTGTGTTTTTAATCTTGTTTACTACTTCTCTTCTTAGTCCCGGGAATTGGAGATTTCGGTGTTCTGGAGAGATTGGCGATCTCTGTGTGCTGTGAAATTTCTGAGGTTAGAAGATTTCCTGGACAACCAGAGACATGGCATGTGTCTGTACCTGGAGCCACAGGGCACGCTCTTTGCAGAGGTAAGAACTTGGAGAGCAACCACTTAGTAGCTGCACTCCAGTGCCAGGCTCTCGTGTGTTTTTATAACCACATTTCCTTGACTGTAAAATCCTATCTCCGCTGCCGGACCTAATGCTGCTGTAGGATCAAAAGGAACTCCCTGTATATGAGGAAAGGTTATATTATGAGCAACACCTGACCATGCAAAAATCTCTCTAACTCCAGTTTGTTCAATGTGAAGATATTTTTCCAAGGGTTGGTAGGATGTAGACCTTATTCCCGGTTTTTGGCTTAGACACCTAGATTTTTTTCAAGGCCTAGTTTTATTTTCATGGCTTTAAAGTTGGGCATGCCATCAGTGTTTTTGCAATGGCTACCTACCATTTTGCTGTAGTACCATGTGTGCCGCCTTCCACTGAATGTAGTGGGAGAGAGCAAAATGATTATGGGAAAAGTGGATTATATAGTTATGTTTCTGTACATGTATGGCTGTGACCTTTTTACAATGGTGTATGAATGTCATACAGATAACATCAGCTAAGAGTATCAAATATCTGTGTTGTCCTTGTTAATAATGCTCAGTGATCTCAGTTTATCAAACCTGAGAATGTTAATTTTATGCCCTGTAGCTTTGGTAAATGTGTCCTTTTCTTCAAAAGGGTCAACACACTTAATCTGTTTTTTTGACCAGGTAACCTTTTTCAATCCTGTTATTGAAAGAAGACCAAAACTCCAGAGACAAAAGAAGATCTTCTCAAAGCAACAAGGTAAAGTTCTCTTTTAACCCACAGGAGGTACTTATCAGCAGATGTTGATGGCTTTCAGTGATGTGGTTCTCTGCATTTACCACTTATTCATTGTTATTAGGAAAAACCTTCCTCAGAGCTCCACAGATGAACATTAACATCGCCACATGGGGACGACTAGTGAGAAGAGCAATTCCCACAGTTAATCACTCTGGCACTTACAGCCCTCAGGTTACTGGTCCTGCTGCAGTGGCGGTGGAGGATCCACAGAATCTGGAGTTATCTCAGTCAGTGAGGTGTGTACTTTATCCGCTTGGTCACAAACGACATGGAGAGGGCCGAAGTGCTGAACACTTTTTTCTCCTCAGTATACACTCAGGAGGGAAACGGGTTTGACACCGATAATAAAACACAGAGTTCATCACAAAATATAGCCAAGTGGTTGACGGAACCCGGGATACAACAAAGACTTAGTCTACTTAATGCAAATAAAGCGTTGGGACCAGACAATCTACACCCCAAGATACTTAAGGAACTAAGCGAGGTTATAACTAGACCATTATTCCTCATTTTTAAGGACTCTCTAATGACTGGTAGAGTTCCGAGTGACTGGCGGAGGGCTACGGTAGTTCCAATATTTAAAAAGGGATCAAGATGCCAACCTGGGAATTACCGACCACTTAGTCTTACATCGGTAGTTTGTAAACTGTTAGAGGGAATGATTAAGGACCACTTAGTAGAATTTGTTCGGGAAAATGACAAAATAAATGACAACCAGCATGGGTTTAGGAAAGACCGTTCGTGTCAGACTAACCTACTGACTTTTTACGAGGGGGTGAGTAGAGATCTGGATGGAGGGAGGTCTGTGGATGTGGTTTATCTGGATTTCTCAAAGGCTTTTGATACGGTTCCGCACAAACACCTACTATACAAGCTGAGAACTATGGGCATAGATGGAAGGATGTGTACATGGATGGAGAACTGGCTAAAGGAACGGGTACAGAGAGTATCAATAAATGGCGCCCTTTCAGACTGGGCTAGTGTCATTAGCGGTGTGCCTCAGGGTTCTGTGCTGGGACCCATGCTTTTCAACCTGTTTATTAACGACATCGGGGACGGAGTAAACAGCGATATCTCAGTGTTTGCTGACGATACCAAAATTGGGAGGGTAATAGAAACAGACCAAGATAGTATAACATTGCAGGAGGACCTGGATAAAATAGGGGAGTGGGCAATAATGTGGCAGATGAGGTTTAATGTCGATAAATGCAAAGTAATGCACTTTGGAATTAAAAATAAACAAATGGGTTATACAATTATGGGTATGCCGCTAGGGAAGTCAGAAATGGAGAAAGATTTGGGGGTCATTGTAGACCACAAACTGAATAATAGATTACAGTGCCAGGTTGCTGTAAGCAAAGCTAGTAGAATCTTGTCCTGCATCAAGAAGGGAATGTTTTGCAGGGATAGGTCTATAATTATGCCACTTTACACATCAATGGTTCGGCCCCACCTGGAGTATGCGGTGCAGTTTTGGGCACCGGTCCACAGAAAGGATGTCCTTGAACTGGAGAAAGTCCAGCGGAGGGCGACCAAACTCATAAAGGGGATGGAGGACCAGAGCTATGAGACACGGCTACTAAATTTAAACATGTTTAATTTGGAAGTAAGGAGATTAAGAGGGGGACATGATTTTCATGTACAAAATGTTCCATAGTCATAGCAACATTAGCAGCAAACTCTTTGAGATTAATTCTATTGGTTCGGCCTCACCTGGAGTATGCGGTGCAGTTTTGGGCACCGGTCCACAGAAAGGATGTCCTTGAACTGGAGAAAGTCCAGCGGAGGGCAACCAAACTCATAAAGGGGATGGAGGACCAGAGCTATGAGACACGGCTACTAAATTTAAACATGTTTAATTTGGAAGTAAGGAGATTAAGAGGGGGACATGATTTTCATGTACAAAATGTTCCATAGTCCTAGCAACATTAGCAGCAAACTCTTTGAGATTAATTCTGTAACAGAGACTAGAGGACACCACCTAAAACTGGTAGAAAAAAAAAAGTCGAACACAAGGGGCGAAGGGGGTTCTTCTCAGTTCGCGCGGTTAGGGTTTGGAACTTACTGCCTCAAGCGGTAATTTTCCGCAATTAATCTGGAATCATTCAAGAAGCTTCAACCTCAAATACTATGTAACTATGTAATACATTTATAAACTTTACTGCACCCACCTTACATTACATTGATAAAGTTTTCATGCCTCTTAATATGTTGCCTAATACTTGTACTCTTTAAACAGTTACTATGGACTAGGTAGAATGCAGACTGATTTTATAAAAAATGGGGAACTCAAATATGTAAACTTAATGAAATGTTTTTTTCTTCCTTGAAGTGAGTCTCCTATAGGCAAGTTGGACTTTGAAATAGAACCAGAGGCACCTAGTGTTCCACCCCGGGCATCTTCACTAGACCTTGATCTCTATCCGGCTTCAACAGACATTAAAGCACCAAGCATACCAGCTCAGGTAAAGGCTTCTGCATGTACTTTAGTTTAGTTCTAGCTTCTCTAATCTTCTAATGATTTCTGCACTTAACAAATCTATTCAGCAGAGGAGGGTTGATGGTGATGTAGCGGAGAATGAAAAGGCGTGGAGCGGAGATTGGCCTAAGCAGCAGAGGCTGCACACTGAAAATGTGATCTGCTGTGAATCACATTGTGTTTTGTTGAAATTCCGTGCCTTATTAATGATTTAAGGCAAGGCTGCTCATTAAACATATTTGTACTTATTTCCAAACCGAGTTGTAGGCATCCTTTACCAGGCTTTTTGGTAAACTTATTGCAGGGCTTGACAAATTTGCTTTCAATCTAGGAGCCAGCTAAAAAATTTACAAGCCAGGTGTTTTTTGTTTTAAATATATTACATGCCCGCGAATTTGCAGAAAACTGCAATACCCAAAAATGGTCATAGGCTACGCTTTAAAAGCTTTTATTGCTGGTTGTTTAAAACTCATAACTGTATTCTGCTTGTGTGCACGTTAGGGGCACGCGCGAGCAGGGAAAAAAAAACACAGTTCACTTACAGCGCCCCGCTATAAATTACTTGTACCTACCCTGCTGGACCCATGAGGTGGGCAAGTATAAGTAATTTATGACTTTTATTTTATTTAAAAATTATTTTCTTTATGTATTTTTATTTAAAAAAAGAAAATTGACAATTTCTCTTTAAGGTGACATTAGGGGTCTATTAGACCACTAGTGTCACCTTACCACTTCACTGGGTAATGGCAGCTGAATGTAAACACAGGAGGCTGGAAGCAATAGCCAGCCTGCTATTGGCCATTTCAAATTGCAATATCCAATACCAGGCTGGCTATTGCACGTGCCCCATGTCAATCAGCACAGGAGAGACCTGAAGGACAAAGTTTTTTTCAGTGGTCTCCACTCACAGGCTGTTACTGGCTGCCATAGTCTGTCAGAGGGGACACAGATTGCAGCATACAGTGGGGAGGAGAGCGGGTTATTGTGGCAGGGAGGAGGAGAAAAGTGACACACAAGTGTGGAAGGACCCACAACAGTGAATCTTCTGGGGGAAGCGGCGGAGCAGTGAACTGGCTGACAAAAGCCCAGACGCCAGGACACAATTCCTAGTCGCTCTGGGATTTTGTCGAGCCCTGACTTAAAGGAGAACTATGGGGTTAGTGTTTTTCCCCATAGTTCTCCTTAGGGTAACGGGAGGACACAAACTAGCGTCCTCCCGTTACCCTAAGCTCAGTAAACCGCGAGCTACAGCTCGCGGTATACTGAGACGCCGCAACTGGAGCGGATCACGACTTAGATGACAGGATCCGCCCAGCTGCCTGAGTGACAGCTGGCTCTGCCTATCTAGAGGCAGAGCCAGCTGTACCCGCCCCCTCCCCCGTCCGTTCCGCCAGTCAGCGCTGGTAGAACAGAGCGGGGAGAGGGGAATCCAGCCCCTCCCCCTGTCACGGCAGAGAGCCATGACAGGATCGAGAGGCGAGCGAACCCGGTATGTGTTCACTCACCTCCCGAGCTACTGAGCCGACCTGTGACAGTCTCATTGTCACAGGTCAGCTAGAACTATGAGGTGAGTGAAAAGCACTCACCTCATAGTTCTCCTTTAATGAATTTACTAGTTCCTAGAGATTGGAAATCTGTGTTAAGGTGTTATAGTAGGGTTCGGTTGCATAGTGGCATTTGGCAGGTGCCCCCAAACTGCTGGACTTAAATAGGTCTAATGAGCTACTCGGTACACACTTCTTGTTCACCATACACCACAATGTTTAGCTCTGATCTGAATGCTTCAGAATTCAGGAAATGGTTTACCCTGGTGGGAGCAAAAGGAGCATGGCACATAGTGGGCTAGATTCCCTCTTCCATCCATCGATCATGTGACTGAAGTCTAAAGGAGAGACAACTTTTAATCTAAAGTAAACCTTTTTATGACCATCATAATATCTTTTTATTACAGGACCCTGGAACTAATTATGAATATTCAAATAATAGAAACAGTATAGCTATAAAACCAATAATCGATCTAACAAGTGAAGGGGAAATCACCGTGTCAGATGTGGAATATAACTCTATACAAGAGACCGAAGAAAGACGGTAATGCTGCTACCTGATTCCATGTTTTCATGTTTGTGTCTACTGGATTGACATGCCTAATAATGACCGAATTGTCTCTTCCAGAGTGCAGCCACGGTTCCAGTTCAGCTTGCACGACTTCCGGTGTTGTGCAGTATTAGGCAGAGGACATTTTGGAAAGGTGCATTTTATGGAAGATCACACGTTACTGCTGTTGATGGGACAATGTGATTGTATTGTGACTTTCTTCCTTGATTTCAGGTGCTGCTGGCAGAGTACAAGAACACTAATGAAATGTTTGCTATCAAAGCCTTAAAAAAAGGAGATATTGTATCTCGTGATGAAGTTGACAGGTATGTTGACTTACAAAATATAAATCATTAAAGATGGTTTTAAAATGAATCTGAGAAAACGAAAAATGTTGCTGCCTAATTCAGTAAAATTTTAAATCCTTTTTATTTTTGTCAGCCACACTGCCCTCTTGTGGTATGTTTGTTTTCTCCATCAAGCAAGTCTGTTTTTGGTCTTGCTAACTACAATAACAGTAGTTGTAGTATTCGTTCTATTAGCCAAGCGATCTTTGCTCTAGAGGGGCTACAATATAAAGAAGTTAATTTATGTCCTGCTTCAATAATTGTGCAAGTCAGCAGTGTATAGCCAGGGACAGTCCATGATAGAGAGGAATGGTGTGTACAACGGCTATTGTCCTTACAGCCAGTATATCATTCCCCACACTGTACTGTCTCAAAGACAATTACTTTATGGATATCAACCCTCTGGACATTTTTTTACATTTTATTTCTCTTGATTGTAGAATTCCACATTTAACTAGAAATCTAGCAGACATGTTTGATTTATGTTCGTTACTGACTGCAGTTTGTTAACTTTTAAGGTGCCCATACACTGTACGATTATAGTACTATAATCGTGGAAAATCCCGCGATCGTACGATAATTGCACAAGTGTATGGAAGGCGTGCGACCGTTTCTACTGTACGATCGCACGTCTTCCGTCAAACAAGCAGGCTGGAAAACCCACCAAGAATCGTACGATTCTCGGCGGGTTAGTGGCGTGCTTGTTTGACAACTGCCGAACGGGTCGCTGTGCGCACGCGCACACTGCCCGTTCAGCATTGCAGTTGTCGGCGATGATCGCAAGTACGATCTGCCTGTCCATGATGGGCAAATCGCACGTACTTTTTAATTACTTTACAACCCTCGCAAGACAAAAGTCTTGCGAGGGTTGTACAGTGTATGGCCACCTTTAGAAGTAATTAGAACTCTGAACACAACTGCATTTTGTATGTGGGCCTTGGCTGGCACCCGCCATGTCGTGGAATAGACTGTTCATCAGAAGTGTGGTCAAAGACCATCTTATTGCTGTTATGGCTGACGGTGAGTGTATGTTTCTAGGTGTAGAAATCTTAGCATACACTTGAGACCTGTGTAAGCTATACTTGGATCTCCAGTGGGAGTTCTTCTTGCCCCCATGTGCTGGGCCAATTACCAAGCACCAGGGTTGTCACATGAGGAAGGGGAATTGAATGTGCCTCCATACCTGGAAGTACAGGGTATTTTCTTTGTTTCTGGTGACGGGAGCACAGGAAAGATGAGTATATGATGCTGGATCTCTGGGCATTAAACCTGTTACTTTGCCCTAACCACTTTTCCAGTAAATATTGCCGATAGGTGATGCACATGTTTTGATATTGCACGCTCTCTTCTTTACCAAACTCTTTTATTTTTGCTGCACTTTAGCCTAATGTGTGAGAAACGCATCTTTGAAACTGTGAATAGTGTACGGCACCCGTTCTTGGTGAACCTGTTTGCTTGTTTCCAAACCAAAGATCATGTGTGCTTTGTGATGGAATATGCGGCTGGAGGAGACCTAATGATGCACATTCATGCGGATGTTTTCTCAGAACCAAGAGCTGTGTAAGTTTTCTAAATTACTTCAGTGATGTCCTTCGAATATAAATTAGAGCTCATAGCTTTACTTGGTTATGAACAGATTCTGCCCCACTGCCATTTGAAAGGATGTGAAGCTGCTTAGGACCATGTCAAGAGGGTCTGCTTTACAAGTCTGCCCTTTTCCTGTTGTAAAAAGTCTGGTGTGCAGAGGCCCTTTCTGCTCGTGACTGTGAAATACAAAGGCATTTCCACAGAAACTCTGAATACTTTTTGTGTTAAAACATAGGTTTTAGGCTGTAGTCGTCGTATAAGACAAGTATAGCCCAAAATAATGTTTAAATGCACCCACTAACCTCCATGGCGGTATTCCCAAGTGTGGCTCGGGGTTAATTTTCAGTACCATAAGTGGTAACCCTGAGCCACACTCAGGATTACAGTCTCTTACCTTGTCCACGATCCCCACAGCGTCCTCCATCTTCCGTCTTTCAGCTACATACAGTATACTGCGCTGAGCCTATCACGGCAGGCTTTGCATTCATTAATACAGGCTTTGTATTCATTAATACAAAGCCTGCCGTGATTGGCTCAGCGTGGTATACTGTATGTAGCAGAAGCTACATACAGTATACACGGCGTATAAGACGACCCCCGATTTTCGGGTCTAAAAACCCGTCTTACACGCCGGCATATACGGCATTTTTAAATTGAGTGGGTTTTCTAATCGCAGTCTGTGTGGTACATTTCCCCTCACTTTCTCTCATGTTCATTATTGTCTCAGGAAATAATTTCCTCAGTAGAGGTGCTAATAAAAACCTGACTGAGGCTCTAACCATTCCCCACTCTATCCAAATATTTTTTTAAAGAACCTGTGACGTTTTCTTTAAGATTAAGTTCAGGGGATGATCAGTTGAGCAGATAATGACTTGTTAATATGCTACCTTCATTGGAAAAACACGGCTTACCTGACATCTGCTTTGTGGTTATATACATGATCTTGCGCAATCAGTAATGGCTAAAGCAATGGCTTGACAGTTTGTTAGTGAGAAAAAGCACCAGTGGGCCAAGTGCCCATATGACACCATATTTTACGCTACCCTTGGTCAGGGGTGCCTTCAAATTTTCAGTGTTGTGCATTTTAATGGTGCAGGTGAGGACTATGGAAATGCATGGCACTAATCCAGAGCGGGCTGCATCCAAGACCCAAGCAGCCCCTCGCACATCATTTAGCCGCACTGTGGAGAAGATTAGGGAAGCTCCGGATCTAAAAGAAAGCGGGAATCTATCTAAGATAAGGATCGGGTATAGATTTTGAGGGGAACCATGCATGTTTTGTTTTTTAACATTTTAGACTGGGGCGCCTCAATATTTTGCCTACATTTTAAGAGTAACTTTACCCAAATCTTCAAAATAACAAATACACCTTTGAAATGTTTAGTAATGACAACCTACAAACACATACTTCTACATAATTGCAGGATTTTTAGTTTTTGGCACACCTTATTTTTCTTTTCTTCCCCAGTCTTCTGACCATGAGCATTTTAACCAAGGGCAGATTAATCCATCTTCCTTTACTTCCTATAACTCTGACCATGCACATCATCTCAGGGTAGGGAAATGCCTTTTACCTTGAGATCTCGTGAGATTACAGATGAGATTTCCCAGCAATGCTTGGCTGATGTAACCTTCCCAGGATGCAGTGCTTGGGCACAATTACATAATTTGTGCCAGAAGTGGATCAGGAAGTGGCGGGATAAAGAAATTGTAAGCAAAATAAAAATGTTTAGCTAATGTATACAAGATGATTTCATATCAGCATGCAGAACTGTATGTTGACGTGATTTTTAGTCAAGGGGGCTAAAGGTTCACTTTAACCCCTTCCTGACCGATGTTATTCCGTCACAATCATAGAGTTCATTAACTACCGGTGAGTGAATAGTCCTGTCATGCAGTAGGTACAATGAGCGCTGATCCGTGGAGGGACCAATGCTCATTGAGTTACTGCTCTTGCTGGGTCCCTCAGGGGGCCAAAGCAGAGCCTCAACAGCAGATTAGATGGTCCCAGCCCTGTGATAGCTAATCGCAGTGATCACAGCGCTCTGACAACCACTGAGCTGGCTTGCAGCTCACTGTGTTGTGCATCTGCGAGCCGGCTCAGTGTGTTACAAGCTGATACAAAGCATCTCTGAGGAGAATACTGTATTCTCCTCAGATATGAAGTATCAAAGCCCCTGTAAATAAAATAAAAAAAATAAATCTCTTAGTGCTCCCTTGTTTAAAGGGTGCCATGACTGTAAAAAAAGGTTGTGAGTGATGCACTGGTTTAGACCATGTAATATGCTGAGAATCTTGAGGTATGTAAGACAGTGTATGGGCCTCGGATACCCCCCCCCTCCCCTCCCCAATAAATGTCAGGAGAAAAGCAAATCGTGAAGAGTTGGTATAAATGGATAACATTTCCTATTAGCTGAGGATCACCTGGTATATTCTAATGTTTTTTGCAGTATGTGGTAACCCTGTAGCATGTTTCTCAGAAGTTCTGGAATCTGTCCATTGTCCCTTCTTTTCCACCAGCCAGTTGGGTGAAGTAAACTCACTTCAACCCCTTCAGCAGTGTGTCTGTTAATACATACTTCTGGTTCTTTGGGAGAGGTAGTGTTGTCTATGCTGCTGAAGTCCCTGAATGATATTATCCAGCACACAGTGTCTCTGCAATTACCAACTACTTTATAATTGTTTTGTTTGCAGGTTTTATGCAGCCTGTGTGGTTCTTGGCTTGCAGTATCTACACGAGCACAAGATTGTTTATAGGTGAGTTACTGTTAAGTACTGATGACGGCGCCATTTAATCAATTCAGTGTTTTTTAACATGTTATGGATAGAATAATGTCCCACTATGAAAGCTGGTTGGTTGATAAAAATCTCATCTTTGTACATGCTGAAAAACCTTTCATTTCTGCCATTCTTTTAGTAAGAACACCATTACATTCATATGGTTTGCTCATGTCACAACAGACAGGATGGGGCTTCATGGCTCAGATTTATGAATGGATCCCCGGATCCAAAACACTAAAAGTCCTCAGAGTGATTCAAATACTCTACAGCATTGTGTTATATTTATGTAGGCTTGTTGGGGCTACCCAACTTTAAGCTTTCCATAATATATCCTCCTGTGCTGTGGGGTCTTAATTTTGGCATTTTCTGTTTTTAATAGCTGAGAGAAAGAAAAGGGCCAAAGAAACTTTAGAGCCACCCACTTATACTGTATTAGAAAGCAGTTTATTCATGTTTTCTATCAAATATTATTAAGCAACTCTTTACATTTTCACCTAGGGATTTGAAGCTGGACAATCTCTTGTTGGATACAGAAGGATTTGTAAAAATTGCTGACTTTGGTCTTTGTAAAGAAGGTAATGTGTGCAGATTTTAACTTTAAATGAGCCAGTAATTGCAGTGAAGTTTCTCTTGAGACAAGAGATGGTAGTCAGAAAATCCTTCCACTGTGCAGTTGTCATTTACTGTATTCGTGGGAGTGCAATGCTTGGTGACCCTAACAAGGGTAACCATCCAGTGACCTCAGCTCTGAACACTGAGGCTTGCTTAGGGTGTTCAATTCATTAACATCTATAACCCCGTAAGGGTGTGGAATGTACATGATTTGTCTGATGTGCTGGCAGAAATAAATATGTATATTACAGGTAGGAAATGCACTCAATTCTTAATATGCTGATTAGTTTCGGCACAGGTCAAAAATCTAATTGCAGGCAGATTGTAACCGCAATCTAGTACATGAAAGCTTCTAAAGTCTATGTCCAGCCCACAGTCACTTGCTCTCCCTGTGAAAGGGTTTCTACAGACCAGAAAGTGAGGGAAAATTTCCAACAGCAGCTTTTTTGTAGAGAAAGCCTAGAACCACTCACTCTTTATTTCTGACTGTCTCTCCCAGTGTCAGATTTTTCCATCGCTTTCTGACCGGTGAAACCATTGTCACCTTGGCAGCAAATGCTCTAGTCAAAAGTACACCAAAAAAAGTTTTGTCTGGACTTGCACTAATAGTTTGTAATCCCTTCTTAGCTACTTTACTTATGTTGACATCTATGGATTGCTGTGCCATTAAATATTTAAAAGAATAGATTGGCTGGACCTTCTTTAGTTTGATATCAAACTTTTTAGTACTATTGACTTTTATTAAGAGCTTGCATGCAGTTCTGTAGGACTGCTGACTGATTGCCCAGATATAAAGCAGTATGTAACCTCTCTCTTCTATTCAGGAATGGGATTTGGCGATAGAACTAGCACTTTCTGTGGCACCCCAGAATTTCTGGCTCCAGAAGTCCTCACAGAAACCTCTTATACCAGAGCAGTTGACTGGTGGGGGTTGGGAGTCCTCATCTATGAGATGCTTGTTGGTGAGGTATGTATATATCTACAGTAAGACATAAAGGTTTCTGCGCATCTAAATTTACTTTCATATTTTCATGAGAGAGAAGGGTCTATTTAAACTGGTTGTAAAAGTTTTATGGTTTATTAAAAAGTCCCGGGAGACCATTACAGCTTTAGAGACCATATACCTTTTACATATGGCTCTTCAGGATGTGCTCTAACATTGCAGTGTATTATTAAAGAGCTGTATGGTGGGGCACCTGCACTATTGCAATACATTGGCCTTTCTGTTTCCTCATCTGCCTTTTGATGACTACTTAAGCACATTAGTGATGGTTTTTCCTCAGCGCTAATATTTTATTGATGGTGGTGTGTGTATGTTTACAATGAGGAAGGTGAATAGAATGAGGAAGAGATATAGTAATCTACATGACGACCTTGCTTATATCTAACTCAATAATGGGAAATAAAGATGCTTAAATGTTCCAAAGGTGACATATTTTTATAGCGTACCTATAGTTACATTAAAGTCATACTTGCATGTCTGTACAAAACAGGTTCATGTAAAGCAGAAGTGCTTATCAGACTAGGAATCGGAAGGTCTCATGGCTTTCACACACAGCCCAGTATGTCGGCCTAGCTCCAACTGCTGCCTTGTGATGGTTTCAGTGCATGGACATTGTACTCATTGCTTTACATAATCACGTTGTGTTGTTCTGAGCCAATATGTTGCGTGTCTTGTTTTGACCAGTCCCCATTTCCTGGAGATGATGAAGAGGAAGTATTTGACAGCATAGTCAATGATGAAGTCAGATATCCGCGGTTCCTGTCCACAGAAGCCATTTCTATCATGAGAAGAGTAAGTCCTCTTTGAAGCGCCATTGCCTTTTAGCCAGATTTGATCTTGCCGTTTCCTCCTCAATGTCGTCTGTTCCTCCTGATCAGTTTTGTGTATTTGTCATCAGATTTGAGAGCCCATTGTCTGCTGAACAGGTGAAAATTGTGTTTTTTTTCAGTCTTCAATAATAAATGATCCATTGTTTATATGAATAACCATAAAATAGGTAACTCTTGGGATTGCATTAATCTGTAGATTACTTTGTCCATTACATACTAGAACCATCTGCTGGTTATCAGGTATTCGATTCCCATTGTTCAACAAAAACATTGCCCTGAGAGAGGATAAACGTGTCACTTATAAGGTCGTCAGTCAATGTAATTTGTCAGTACAGATTGCTAACATTTTTCTCATTTTGCAGCTATTGAGGAGAAATCCAGAGCGCCGCCTGGGAGCAGGTGAAAAGGACGCAGAAGATGTAAAAAAGCACCCGTTCTTCAGAGTAAGTACTTGAAAATGTCTGAAGAAAAGTTGATATCCCGAATTGAGGAAAAGCCTTGTAACTTGTGTGACCCTAGAAGAAGTCCAGGACAACCCACACAAGCATCAAATGGTCATCCCTAGTTAGGGCTCTGATCACCAGTGTGCTGTGCATTAATGGGCCTCTAGAAAAGGCATAGCAATTACAGAACAAGCCTCCGTTCATGTTGTGAGCAAAAAAACACCCTATATTAGATGGCTTCACTTATGCCCACTGTCATGACCATGTGGCTTTAGTCATTGACCTGGAACAAGTATACAGTTACAGACCATGGACCTGACCCAGACTTTCCTCATCCTTATTGACTTGAATCAGAAATGGCAGCTTCCATGTGACAGAGGTTCACTTTGGGTCCAAGCTACACAGAAAACTTGTAAGCTCTTGTTACAAGAAATGTCATGAGCCTGTCACCAACTTAGAAAATTGCAGGTAAAAGAAAAACAAAGTATTATAAATGCTTACTTGGAGCATTTTTCTTTTTTCTACTAGAAATGTGCTTTTAAACACTCTAGAAAATGGGACTACTCCAGGAGAGTCCATTTCCTAATCAGCCCTCTTCCCTCCCATGTTGTGACCCTCTCCTCTTCTGAGAGTATCTATTAGTCTACTCTGGGAGAGTCAATTTCCTAACGCAGCCCTTTCCCTCCTTCCATGTTGTGACCCTCTCCTCTTCTGAGAGTGTGTATTAGTCTACTCCGGGAGAGTCAATTTCCTAACACAGCCCACTCCCTCCTTCCATGTTGTGACCCTCTCCTCTTCTGAGTGTCTATTAGTCTACTCTGGGAATAGTCAATTTCCTAACGCAGCCCTCTCCCTCCCATGTTGTGACCCTCTCCTCTTCTGAGAGTGTCTTTTAGTCTCTTTGCTGACCCAGCTCTTCTGCCCTGCCCCTCCCTTCACCTCTCTATATAACATTAATTGTAGAAGCCGGGGTGGGTGGTGCGAAGGGGAATTCAATAGCGACAGCTTGGACTTTGCTGACATCATCTGGAATGTATTTAACCCATTGACAGAATGTTTAATTGGGCTTTAACGGTTTTCTAAAAGGGAGGAAGAAAAAGAAATTGGTTTCAGTCAAATGGTGATCTAGCTGGGTCATGCAGTCTGACAAATCCTGGCCTGCTCTCAGCAAGGGTTCCTGGTACATTTTATGCTTGTGTCTGTTTTGCAGCACATAGACTGGCAAGCGTTGTTGGCAAAGAAGGTGAAGTCTCCATTTGTACCCACAATCAAAGGACGGGAAGATGTAAGCAATTTTGACGATGAATTTACCTCCGAAGCCCCCCTCCTCACCCCTCCCCGAGAACCGCGGTTACTGACAGAGGAGGAGCAGGAGACGTTCAGAGATTTTGACTATATCGCAGATTGGTGTTGAGAGCAAGGACACTGTGAAACTGGAGAGAACTGGCTGACAAGATGACAAAATAAAAAACAGACTCACCGCTTTGTGCCATCTTCAGTTCCAGGATTATTTTATTTTTTAAATCACATGAAGATTCTTTTAAAAGTACTTTTCATTTTATAAATATATATAAATATGTGTGTATATGAACTCTGCGGAGGAGTGGCCACTTTCAGAGTACGCCCGTTTTATTTTATTTTGTTTTACTAGCACTGGAGCAACTTTACACCTTGGTCCTCTGAGCAGGACAACTTGGCCTGTGATACTTACATATCTGTCCTCCACCATCTTTGGTCTCTTTACCTGCAGAGAGGAGAACTTTGAAAAAACAAAATGCTTTAAATTGTGACGCTAACAATTTGTATTGAAAGGGTGGGGCAGCTCGTTCTTGGCAATAAGCAGGTTAATTCCTGAGACATGTTTCTATATCTGTGACATTCTTAATATCATTCATCCTCCAGGTACCTGCTAGAGGTTTTGGTTTTAAATGTACAAAGCTGAGATAAATCTTCTGTATGAAGTGGCATTGTTCTTTACTTGGATGGTTTCCTGTAAAATGATGGTATCTGGAGTTATCACTTTTTCCATTTTGGAATGCCCTTATGTGGAACTTGTTTGATTTTGTGAAGAAGTTAATGTATGGAAAAGCAAAACTTCTTTTTTTTCTCTTTTTAGTTTGGAGTAAAACTTGATAACAGGTCTAACCCTTCCCTACTCTACCCAAATCTATGCCCTAGCTAGGGAGATTCACCACTCTGTATATCCTGTGACCATTGTCGCCAAGATAGAAAGTGAGGGAAAACAGCACTTGTCATCGGAGCCGAGATGAGGACATTTTCCCAATTGGGACAAATATTCCACGACGGCTGTTCAAGATGAAACTGCCTCACTTTGGGAAGCGTTTCTCTTGAGTCTCCCAGACAGGAACTAGAGTCCCCCCAGTGGGACAGAGACCACAACAAGTAAGCTAAACTCTTCCCTACTTTATCAAAAACGAACAGGAATAGGCTATACCTACACTTTCTTAGTGTGTATCCAGAATCCCTTGGTCTTTGTTAAGCTGCCCATACACCTTACAGCCATCGCACGACTTTCATTGTGCGATGGCTGTAAGGGCATTAAAATTTTGTACGATCTGCCCATCTTCGACAGGCAGATCGTACTTGTGATCATCGCAAGCCCTCCCCGCTGAGGGGGGAGGGCTTCCGATGATTGCAGTGCTGAGCGGGCAGTGTGGCACCGTCCTGTGCGGCATTCGTCTTCCAACCCGCCGAAAATAGTATGATTTTTGGCGGGTTTTCAAGCGTAAGACCTTACAGGAGAAGCGGTCACACGTTGCCCCTACACCTGCCGACGCTACTATCGTATGCTAATTGGCAGGTGTATGGGCACCTTTTAGAATGCACTTGATCTGGCCTAATCATGCATAAGTGTTAGTCGTCTTCATGTCATGCCCTGTGTATACTAGTGAATGTTAGGCCCAGGCTAGTCACAGGGCCTCTGATGGGTTTTTGTCAGTCAAAAAAGGCCTGGGATTAGTTTCCAAGAGGTTTCACTGAGACCCCAGAATTGATTTGAAGGGTAACATAGGTACTTGCAGCTACCACAAGGTGCCAGCGCTATGGTAGTCTTGTTACCTTTTGTCATATTTTATGAAGTATCAGGTTATCTTTGAGTCACTACAAAGCTGGTTGCAGCTGCTGATGTAAATTGGGATACACTAAATTTTTACCTTCTAGATCTAGACAATTTGCCATTAGCGCCTGTTTTCCCAGCCAGCTAACACTAATTTTCCACAATCATTGCTTATCAAATGACTATTTTAGTGATGAGTGAATAATGTACTGAATTCTGGATTTAATAAATCCATAGGAGTGGTAAAATTGGTCCTAGCACCTAATTGGTTGCCCCCACAGTGACTAAGGCAGCTTCTACTACCATTTGCAATCATTGAAGATGATGAAATACAGTAAGATCAATGCCTTGGCTCAGGAAAGATCATTCTCAGTTCATGTTTGGCATATTCATTGGTATAGTTTAAAGTTTAATAATGAGCCTGAGTATCCTCCCTCACGGTGTCCTCAGGTTTATGAACATTTGTGTCCCTGGACCATACCGGGAACAGCCACCAGGTCATTTTGCCCCGTGCGCAAGGCATTCTATTCCCCCTCTGACGATGATGACACAGTGACAGACCCAGCAGGGAAGGCTGGTTCTGGTTGGGGGACTTGTGTGCGAGTTCTAGACACTAGTATACATTATTTACAGGCTAAGAAGTTGTCGTCTTTGAGTAAAGTAACAATTGCTTACATTTGTGTCCCCAACAGTTGTAACCGGCTTTCTTCCCACCACCAATCTTCAATGCCTACTCCCTATGCTGCGCTCTCTGCTTTTACACCTCTCACTACTGTGTTTGCTCTGTACACAGGGCACAGCAGTATTTTAATCCCAGCCGGCATTGTGTCCAGTCTGTTGTCTGAGCTGAAACAAGAGTTGCCTTCTTTTGTGAGAATTATTTGAGAAACGGATTGGTTGTTCTAATCTTTCATGCCTTAACTCTCCGTGAGAACAGCGATCTTCCAAAAGACAAACCTCAATCTTTACCAAAGTCACTTGCCAAATACTTTGCCGCTTTCTAGCTCACCATCAGTGGGACAAGCAGCACATTGGCTGTCTTTCTGGCTCTTGTGCCAGTGGACTCACTAGGAGGAGGAGCATTATGAGCACATGGTTTACAGTAATTGTGTTCTGAGAGAAAACTGGGGGCCTGCCATGTCTGACCACCTTCTGCAACCACTGACTTCAGACGTTTTGGGTTACTTACCTCCGATCACAAAACAAAGTCGGATCTTATGATCTGTGCATACATGTTCAGGGTATGTGACTCTGTTTTTCAGAATGACCGTCTAACAGCAATGGCAGTCTCCATGATTTGTCTCAGGACGCACTTTAAGTGGAAGTGTCAGAGGTCATCTACTTAATTTTCAGTTCTGGAATACCCATGTAAAGTGCTGTATGGTAGTGGTCGTTTCTATAATTGTAGAGACCAGGAGATGAATGGCTTCCCCCCCTTCCTGTTCGTTGTGCTGTCCTGTATAACGGCACAGCATGCATGAGTATTAAGGAAACATGGCAGCTTGGACTAGAAACGAACAAGCCTAATTGTGGGGTTTATAAATATTCAAGGGGCATGTTGGACAGCTGAGGCTCCCATCCAGTATAGCAGGCTGCTATTGGCCAAGTCGCAGAAACAGCACTCCAGCAATATTGCGCTTGTTCTGCCTCAGCTGAAGAACTAGCACTTCTTTCCTAAGGCTATGGAAACCTTCAGTGCTGAATCGGAGCCTCTGCTATGGCAAGAACCCTCCTGACTGCTTCCCTTAACCCATTAGGCAATACTAGCTACACCATTCTAAGGGATGAGGCAGAAATAATGATGTTGCAATAGGTTGTATGGCAGCATGCTTGTGAAATCAATTCTATCGGTTCTGGGGAACTGAGGTCTGTTATGTCTTGCATGTGGTGGATGGAACCCAGATGGAAATGAAATGCTTGTGTACAGAAGGTCTAAACCTTACAGTAAGGAGACTCCATGGTCATTGTAGCTGGTGGAAGAGGATCTTTTAAAGTGTCCCACAGAATAACATGGCCTGACAGTCTGAATGTGGAGAACAGTTCCCACCTCCTACACCCCATGTCCAACTTCCATAACTGTAATGCGTTTCATCATGTCTTTCTTTCATCTTATTGCATACACTGCTGCATTCCCAACGTTCCCTCCGTTTCAGTTTACAAAGAAGGAGATGTTTTTCTATTTGGAGGCGCAGTGCTCTGTGGATAGTCCCATGTTCGGAATCCACTTTACAATCATGTCCCTAATAGTGCAAATCCTACATGTATTTATGGAACCGAGGCGGTCATCATGGGAGTGGCCACAGATACAGAGGACAATATCCGTATGATATAAAAATACTCTAAACATTGCGGCCCACTGGATTTCAGAACGTATAGCTTCTGAAGGTGAACGCAATTTGATGTAACAGAATGTAAAAATATTTTTGATAAAATTGTATATTTTATAATCGTAACACTAATTGTAGCTGTACCTCAACGTTTGATGTTTTGCCTCTTTACTGACGCGGGTTGGCCACATTCTCGGACACTCTGCACAGTAAGGAGATGAAGTTTTGTGTTTTCCGTTTACTAGAGGCCAGACGCTAGTAAATCTGTTGTGTGTATGTCTAGGGCCCTGTCATATTTCCTTGGGCTGTCTGGGCTGTTCATAGAAAAGGCGATGGAGCACCCCAAGTACCTCAGGCTCATTACTCATGTCTCCACTATGATTTGTCATTCGCCTACGCACTGATGCCGCACATTTGTGTTGGGGGTCCGGATTGACATGCTGGCCATGGATGGAAATATGAACAATCAATCATGGGTTTAGTCAACAATCATCACAGGGAAAAATCATGTTGGTTAAATCTGAATGGATTTTCTGCTAGGACCGATTGATTTCTGATACATGTTTTTATTGAATTGATTCTTTGTATTGAATAATGGATTCTCTTACGTCATCTCACAGCACAAGGTTGCAGGCCATCGGCTTGTTGCCGAGTTTTATCTAATGCAATCAGTGGTTCCTTGGCTCTGCTTTTTACTGCTGAATCTTTCACACTGACAGTGCGGCCCAAACACCCTCAGGACGGAATTGAGTTTTGGTTGGTATCCTTAGATGACTACATCCATATATCCTATCCCACTTTTTAGCAGATGTTGAGCAGCTTGTACTGATATTAGGAAAATCCCCTTTTTCTGCCTACCAAGGTTTCTCACCTCTGCACTCTGGCAGGACATCTGGTCTATGAGATGAAAGAAGTCGATGGGTTTATCAGCTCATTTGTATCTACTAGGGATGCACCGATACCCGTTATTTTGGTATTGAGTACCGATATTTTTTTTCTCGCTACTTGCTGATGCCGAAAGTCCCATTAAGGAAGCTGGGTGGTGCTTAATCGATAATACAAAATCACCTGCACGCCATACAGCGTGCAGACCTTGTTGAAAGGTTGGTGCTTGGTCACTATGCCGCCCAGAAGGGACCCTGC